GTATTAACTAGGAGGAGGCCAGAGAACTCAGGGCCTCTTTTGCATAAGGAATTCTTCGCTTGTTAACCCTTGCTTAACTCTTAAAAATTCCTTATGCAAAAGAGGCCCTGAGTTCTCTGGCCTCCTCCTAGTTAATACTGAGAGCAGACACCAAGCCACTGAGACTTGAAATCTGGTAGCAACTACCCTGGCTTTAATTATTTTAAGAAAATTATTTAAAATCCTTTCCTTTCCCTGAGGAGACTGGTGAGGCTCTGCCTCCCTTGCCTCTAGTGACTGCACGTCCCTGAATTAAATAGACCTCTAGGCAGCTTCCTATTTTCCCCAAGAGGCTCTTAGTCTTATACAAGCTATCTATTTATCTTTTTCCATGTGATTTATTATGGATGAAAGCCTCTGTAGCCTATTATTTATTTTTATGGAAAGAGTGAACCTGAGTCTCTTGGAGATGGGAGATAGGTATAAACTGAAGAAATAAACGTTTTACGTGTTTATGGAGATTCTCAGCCATCCAGCTCATGCTTGTCCCAAAGTTGCTTTTTCAAGAGGCAACTGGACTTTCTTATTTTTCTTTGACAACGTTTCACTTCTCAACCCTTCCCTTCCCAGCCCCCAGGAGCTCTCTGAAAGCTTCCATAAGCTAATGCATCTCCATTTTTGTTTTTATGTTTTTTTTTTTAAAAAAAGGGGTATGCTATGCACCATTCAGTATGCTATGCTTAGTCTATAAAATATTTTTCAAGTAGATACAAGGGATATCTCCTTACCAGGTTAAAAAAAAAAGGCAAGCGCACAATTCATTTCGTTTCCCATATCCATTTATATTTCTTTTTGCCCTAGGAAACATTAAGGACCTTTTTGCCCCAGGTGTGATTGGACCACAAACGGTGCTGGTGCTGGCAAATGCCATTTACTTTAAAGCAACTTGGCTGCATCAATTTGATCCGAAGTACACAACCGAAAGACACTTCAGGCTGAATGAGGTATTGCAGTGCTACATAAAATATCATTACGGTACCGTACAACAATATGTGGCCCTTTTAAATATTACACCATATAGCATGGCTTGACTATACGTTTGAATATAATTGATGTGCTACCAACTATCAGAGTTGTTCTATCATTCATATGTAGGGAAACGATGTCCTTTTAGATGATGGTGGACCACCATTTCCACAGGTTGAGAACCGCTGGAATAGAGAGAGAAACGTCTGCAGAGATTTTATTTATTTACAAATAAATTATTTATTTTATTTATTTACAAACACAATCATTTCAATGGCTGAAGGCAGGACTCCTGTTTCTCTATCTCCTTGTGGCAACTACTGGTGGAGCTGCCAGCAGTTGTCTAAATGAAGTCAAAGCAATGGTGGCCCCCATCTTGAGACCTTTAATCAAAGGTTGAGTCTGAAATTCTTTAGAACAAACCTGGATACGTTCTGCTGCAGGTACCCACCGAGCAGCAGGCAGAAGCAAGATCAAAGATAGTCCTCATTTAGCAACCATAATTGGGACCAGAAACTTGGTTGTTAAATGAAGTGGCTGTTAAGTGAAACCGGGACTACGGCTTATGAACTTACTAGGTTTCCTTTGCTTTCCAGATCTGTTAAAGGTTGCAAAGTCAAGGATTGGTGGTAAAGTTACTTTATCACCATCGTACCTGCAAATGAGGCAGTAGCTAAATAAAGACTACTTGCACACCCAGTGCAGTTGACAACCTCAGTGCATACGGATAGGGTGACCACTAGGTGGCAACAGAGAAAAAGAAAGGGAAAAAACATGCTACCTATTGGATTTTGTAATGTGGATTTGGTAGCTCTACTAGTAGTACAACTTCAAAGAGTTGCTCCCTCCCTAAGAGAGTTCCCTGAGCCACAATTACTACTGTTTGTCAGCATGAAGGGCTTAAATATACAAGGTCTGGTTAGCTGAAGAAGGGCGCTCCCTCCAATATAAACTTTAACTCTTGATTAAAGCTAGGATGGAATAGACTTGCCTTGGGTTCTAGACAGTGGTGGGATTCAGCCGGTTCGCACCTATTTGTTATTTGTTAACTTTCTAAGNTCTCTCTCTGTCTCTGTCTCTGTCTCTCTCTCACACACACACACGTATGTATGTATTCCATGGAGCATGTTTAGCTGAGAAATAAGGTGCTTCAAAGTTGAGTAGAAACTCGAACCTTAGTTTCCCACTTTTAATTTGATTCTATGCAGCTACGTGTTACTGCTTCGTTCTTTAAAGCCTAGCGTGCTTTCTCTACTGTTCATAAAGGTTACCAATGTTGGTCCTTTGAATAATGTATTTGTATTCTGGATGGTCATTAAAAGGAAGTAAATTGGGCTGAGTTGGAAATACTCACTCATATGCAACGCCTCTTTAGGGTGAGAGAGTTACACCTTGGATTAGAGATGTTTATTTGGGCTGTCTTCAAATGTCTCTGAAGGATGTTTTTCAGAATAACCCTTCTTGATTACACAGTCTAATGTATGTACCAGGATTGGAGGTAAAGATCATTCTCATGTTTGTAAGCAAACATTTTTATTAAACTTGATGTTGTGATTATGGGAGTTTGTCCTGTGCCTAATTGCAATCTTGTATTTTTCTGTATTTTCATCTCCTTTTCCTGCCTTCCCACAATTTCCTGCCTTGTAAGGGATGGTGGGGAAAGCGATTTCTTGGACACAGTATCT